AACTTTCAACCTTCCTCTCATTAGTGTTTAAGTCATTTTCTACTTTTCGCAGGTACTTCTCGACCTACTAGTGGAAGCAGAGTAGTAGATAGTATTTGGGGGGGGGCGGGGTGAAAGAGCTGAACGCTGAGAGTGTAACACTAAGAATTCAAGTGTGGGACATTTCGTCCGGGCTCAGTGGGCTGGGCAGGGATGTGAACCAGATCAGCAAGAGCCTGTCTGGGCCACTTCTAATTTTGAACTGTCTCCTGACGGCGACCCCCTGTGTCAGTAAGATGATTTGCAGGAGCAGAATGTTCTGAGCCCTGGGCTCTCCTGCAGTCCTGTTGGAAGCCCTGCTGACACCCGCTTTGTGAGGTGGTTGTGCCCACCACAGATTTTGTAGACAATGCAGAGGGCCAGAGAGAAAGCTAATACTGCATAACACGCAGGGGTGTCCAACCCATGGCCCAGGATGGCTATGGATGCGGCCCAACACGACTTCATAAATTTACTTAAAACCTTTTTTTTTCTCATCACTTTTCATTAGCATTTGTGCATTTAATGTGTGGTCCAAGACAACTCTTTTCCCTCCAGTGGGGCCCAGAGACGCTAAAAGGTTGGACACCCCTTATACCATAAGAGCTCTCAGCTGGCTACATAGAAAAACAAACAAGATGTGACCCTTTGGGAACAATTCATACTGTCGACATACAATATAAACAGAATAACAGAAAGAAAAATAAGAGAGATGTAGGTGAGTGCCTAAATTCTTCTCCATAAAAAGAGTCATCAATTTTAATATTGACTCAAAAACAAACAAACAAAAACCAAAAACAATAAACCCACACAATTCTGAATAGACAAACAACCAGGAAGGGGTATAAAAAAAAAGAAAGAGGGGGAGTTACCCAAAAATCAGCTCCTTAAAGGACTTCAGGGTTAGATGCTCTCGCTAGCGAGGCTTTTCTAATGTTTAAAGAACAGCAGTGCCTGTCATTGAATACATTGTTTCAAAACACAGAATAAAGAAAGAATGCCCCTCAGCTTTGGCTGGAAACTGGTACAAGTCTAATTCTCAAACCTGCCAGAAAAAAAAGAAAACGAGCAAAGGAAACCACAGACCAGGGTTTGCAGGCGCAAGTGTCTATAAGAGGCAGAAAGTAAAATAGAGGCTGAATGTGGCTGGGCGTGAAATTACAGGGGAAAGTGGAAGCTACAGGAAATGGAGACTGTGTGTCCCTTATTCAGGAATCCCCGGTCAGATGCTTCAATATCCTGGGCTGGTCACATATACAAGTCCCAGGGGGCACCAGTTTGCAGCTCCTGGTGTAGACGGATCTCTACTGTAAACATAGAGGTAGGAATCCTAAATAAAATACTGGTGAGTCCAACTCAACCTATATTACAATTTTTAAAAAATCTACTATGACCGAGTTACATTTACTCTTAAGGGTTGCAAAAAGGTTTTCATATATAAAAATTATTTTTAAAATTACCCATCGCCTCAATAGATTGCATCAGAAAAAAACCCATATGATCATTTCAGTAGATGTTGGAACTTAACCTTGCAAAGAGCGGAGGCCTGGGAATCCAGAGCTGAGTTGGGTGTGGGCTGGTGGAGGGTGCTTCAAAGGTAGCATCAAGGGGTCAGGGCAGCACCAGGCCCAGCAGACAGCCCTGGAAAGTGTCATTCCAAGGAACTGGACCAAGAAGCAGAAATGAGATAAAGATGAGAAGACAGAGCCTGGGGAGATGCTTGGAGGCACAGACTTGGGGCTTCGCTGCAGGGGCCTCCATGTCCTCTGTCCCGAGCCCAGGTTAAACTCCGGGTGCTGAAAACGCATTTAAAACATTCAGCATCCAGGCCTCATAAAACAGCTCTTAAAACTAAGACTCTAAGGACAATGTCTTCACATGAGAAAGAACCTATACAAAGCAGCTCACTTAAAAAAAAAAAAAAAAGCTTTCCTGTTCTGATTTTCCAAGGAGCCATTTTGTATTTTCAAGACTTTGTACAATAAAAAAGTGAGGGTGAGCACGATGAAAATTATAGGGGAACCTGGAGAGAAGAGGAGACAGTGAGAAGCAATGAACCTTGTAGTTTATATGGTCAAATCTAACTCAATATATTTATGTTGTACCTCAACAACAAATTTGGTTTTTAAAAGTAGTTAAATCTAAATGGATACTGAGAGAGTGGCTGGCAATAAAGTTCAATAAAGACTCCTGCACCTCTACTTCATACCATATATAAAAACAAATTCCAGATGGATTGAGATAGAAGACTTAAATGTAAAACTATAAAATAAAAATTGTGGGAAAAATATACGAGACCATAAACTTCCTCCAAGATCAGGAGATCTACTAACTGGGACAGAAAATGAGAAGCCATAAAACAAGAGGAACTATATTTGATTCCCTCTAAAGTGAAAAATTTTAGAAAGGTCTTATATCAAAGTGCAGTGATAAACTGAGGGAAATTTTAAAAGGGTGAAAACCTCTTCAAATCAATAAGAGACGGACAAATAATACAACAGCAATCCATGAAGGTAAATTCATCAAGTTGGTGAAGAGGCAATTCTGGCAGGAGCAAATCCGGTCAAGAAACCAGTCAACAGACACTCGCCAGCAGAGAACTGTGAGTTAAAAGACCAGGAAGGTCACTTCTCACTTACCAGATGAGCAGAAATTAAAAACAGCGGCAACACCTGTTATTGAAAGGGGTGCAGGAAAACAGTGCTCTCAGACATCGCTGTTAGAAATGTGCACTGTTACAACATTTTGGGGAAGCGTCCTGGCACTAGAACGCTTTGGGGAAGCGTTCTAGCTATTAAAATGAAAAATCCCCTTTGGCGCAGTAATCTCATTCCTGGGACAACGCGCTAGAAATACAGGCGACAGTGCATGGGGGCCTGCGGAGAACCGTGTTGACGACAGCCTCGTAGTGGCGGCCAACTGGAAACCAAGTGCACGGCGCCACCCAGCTTGGGGGAATTTCTAAGCAGGATGGAGAGCAGGGTCTGTAAACATGATCCGACTTTTTAGACGTAGTGACACCCATCCCCTCAAAAGGAAGAAGAAAACCTGTGTGTGTATGAATCGTTGGAGAAAGTGGTGGAAGGAAGGAAGTTAGTTAGGAAGCAAGCCAGCAAGATAGAGGCTGTTAACATGGAAGGGGATGGGAAATACTTGAAACTAAGTCTCTGTATTTGAAAACCATGTTGTAAGGCGACCCCAGCCATGCAGAGTTATGCAAACATATAGAGATGAGGGAGAGGGTGGTCATCAGAATATTGATGATTATCCCTGTGAGTGGGATTGCAGGTGACTTAATTTTTTCCTTGCATTTTTCTATGTTTTAAATGTTATGTAATGAGTATATATTATTTGTATAATCAGTGGAAAACAAAGCTATTTTCATAAGCGGTGGAGGTGGGGAGGAGGGTATTACCACGCAGAGGGTATCGGGTTTCTAAGGGGCCTGATTTAAAGAGCACAGAAGATCAAAGATCGATATTTAATTAACATATCAATTGCTGGCATATCAACCGATGTTTTCCAAATCCCTTAAAGTATAGGTTCGCTTAAGTAGCCAAACTGGCAGCTGAAACATTATTTACAATCCTCCCATTTAACTAGGGCTGAAGAATGGAATGATTACAAATACCAAAGGGGTAGGAGACCCTACAGGAAGTTTTATGTAAGCTGCCCCATCAGCTCTCTGGTACTCCTCGCAGCTTAGAATCCCCCTCACCAAACTAACCCGGCAACTTCCAAGCCCTCTCCTCATCGCTTTCCATTTTTTTTAACCATTTCTTTTTTCCAGACCTCTCTGGAATGGTTCTTAAAGTCTTCATTTTAAATCTTGAGTGTTGGTTTTGCTCTTCTTTTTACTTTCTTCTGGCGCTGGGTGGCTTCCCGCAGCTGGGCGTGCACCTTGCTTTGGGTGAGCACGGCTCTCTCTTCTCCCCTGCCTTCTCTCCATGCACCTCCCAGGTTCAGAGGGGGCTGCGGGTGCTCAGGCGTTGTCTATGCAGAGCTTGGACTTGCCAGGCTCTCAGATAACAATAGGGTTAAAGAAGAAGTTGGGCTTCACCTGCTCCTTCTTTCACATTTATTGAGTGTTGCTGGGTGTCCAATGCCAGGCTAAGGATTCAACAGTGAATGAGGTATGATCAGGGATCGAATGTGGGGAGGGTGCCATTGGTAAAGACGGGGATGGGGGAAACAACTTCTAGTATCTGGCCAAGAGAAAGAACAGTGTGCAAAGGTCTAGCGGTTCTCCAAGTGTGGTACCAGGTGAACAGAATCAGCATCACCTGGGAACTTGCTGAAAATTCTAATTCTCGGGCTCCACTCCCGACTTAACAAAGCTGAAACTCTGGGGGTGGCCCCGGCAATGTTTTATCAATTCCTTCAGGTGATTCTGACGCACCCTGGATTTTGAGAACCGTGGCTCTAATAGAGGCCTGAGTGATGATCTTTAGCTGACGGGCCGAGGAGAAAGGAGGCTTTGTGAGGGCCTCTGATGCCAGTCCACGGGGTTAGACTTTACTCCGTAGCTGCTGCCTCCAGGATCTCGATGAAAGCTGTGTCTGTGTCACTTACACAATCGCTCCCAACTCAGCGTTTCTGGGAGCTCTGGCATTCTCTACGCACCCGGGCGAAGACTGCACTGAGTTTCCCCACCCCCCGAAACACCAGGAGGCCCGCAGAAGAGAGGTCGGACTGCAGACCTCTCCCCACCGCGGAGCCACGGCTTTGCGATCCCAGAGGAGGTGAGCACACACAGGATCTGGAGAACCAACGGAGACAGGAAGGAAGCAGCCCCGGACGAAGCCGGAGTGCTGGAGGCTACAGCACCCTGCCCTAAGCCTAGCGCGACCCAGCCAGCTGCCCTGCGGGCCCAGACCCCGCCCCTGGCCTGAGGAGCCAGGCGATTTGGGACAACGGGTCCCGCCCACGGCCCCGCCTCGGCCCCGCCCCGGCCCAGAGCGCGCCGGCCCGCCTCCCGTGGGGGGAGCCGTCTCGGCCCGCACCCCTGCGCGCGCCGCGGCAGGGTTGCAGGGCTGGGCGCGCGCCCCGCGTCTGGGGCAGGAAGATGGTGGCGAGCGCGCGGGTGCAGAAACTGGTGCGGCGCTACAAGCTGGCGATCGCCACGGCGCTCGCCATCCTGCTGCTGCAGGGCCTGGTGGTGTGGAGCTTCAGCGGCCTGGAGGAAGACGAGCCGGGCGAGGTGCTCTGACGGCCGGGCAGGCAGGCGGACAGGCCAGGCGCGGGGGCGCGCGGGGTCCTGGCAGGGCTAAGGGCTGCCCAGGCTGGGGGAAGTGGGGCATGGGCCGCATGCGTGCCAGACTCTGGCAGCCACCTGGAACTGGGCATCCGACTCCTGGCGGCCTTTCCCAGGAGAACGTGAGGGGCTGTGCGCGGGGTGGTACGTGACCCGGAGGCCCGGACGATAGGCGGGCAGGAGGCCGAAGCGGGAGGAGCGGGTCTCGTTGGGGTGGTCTCCTGCCCCGGGTGCCATGAAGGTCAGGAGCCGGGAGCGGGGCCGGGAGGCGGGGCTGGGCCCGAGCCTGCTCCGTAGTGGGGAGCCCCAGGCCAAACTTTTTGAAGTTGGGAGGGGGCGGGGGTGTGCGCACCGTGGGCGGAGGCGTGAGGCCGGGGGACCCTCAGCTTCGGCGTCTAGAAGCGCGTGACAGGTATAGTGGAGGCTGGTGGTGGAACTCAGTCTGGCAACTGAGGGAGCAGGGAGTGAACCCAAGGGAAAGACCTGGAGTGTCTCTGAGGCGTGGCTTCCTCCATGCCTCGGAGCCAAACCAAGCCATGCCAGGGGTCTGGAGAAACTGCATGGGTCTTCAAGAGGAGATGCTTGAGGGAAATGAGCTGGTGAGTTGACCTCAGGGAACTAGGGAATTGGGGATGTAGACCCCTCTAGCTCCAAGGGAACGGGGACAGCAGCAGCTGCTGGTTTAGCAGAGCACCAGACCTGGCAGGGGCAGACCTACCCTGCGCACTCCGGGGTCCCTGCACCTGAGGGTCTGAGGTTCTGCTGCTCTAGGCTGACCATGGTTTCCGCTGGAGACCCACATATGTCCTCCCCAGTGTGGTCAGGAAGAGTCCAGTAGGATCTGGGGCTATCCTGGAAGGTCAAGGAGGATAGGCCAAATCCTGGCCCTAAGCTGTGGGCCAGAGGGCAGAGCTTCCCTGCGCCCGCCCCACACCCTGGGTTCTGGTGCCTCTAGGGCTCTGAGGCAGGCACTTGACTTGCCATGTTCTCTTGGCCCCTCCACCTGGCAGGGTGAAGGCCAAAGGAACCATGACGTCCACTTTCCCTTCGTGCATCTGGGCAGTCTGGGAGTTCTGGTGTGGGGCCTGGGAGGAGAGCTGTCGTCGCCTGTTTTGGGAGGACCTGGAGTCTGGGATGGTGAGGGGAGCTGGAGCATAGTCACGGGAGACCATAACTTGTGAAGGAGCTGAGGGTGGGGGTGGGGGAGGCTGTCTCTGTGAGGTCGGAAGAGTGAATTTGTTCTGTGGACCAGTATGTAGAAGCAAGAGAATGTTTTGGGTCCAGTGTCAGAAGACTCTGGGCAAATGAGACGTTCTGAGGTGGAATGAGCTGCCCAGGCAGAGAGGGAGCCCTCTGACTCCAGGGTATGTGAGCAGAGGCCAGTGACCTCCGAGGAGGGGCACAGCAAAACCTCTGAGGCTTCTCAGAAGCCAGGGGCCCCGAGCTGCTGCCTGACTCCATAGGCCTCTGGAAAGGCTGAGAGATTGTCCAGGCCTGGAGGCCCCTGCCGCCCTGGGGTGGGGAACTGGGGTGGTTGGGATCCCACCTTCCCACTTCCTCCTGGCAGTAACTGAGAGGGGAATACTGGGCTGGAATGGAAAACGATTCCTAATGATCCAAAGGCTGTGTAGTCCAAGCAGCCACCAGCGCCTGGACCCCTCGGGAGCCACCTCACTAGATCTCAGGGCTGCCAGGCGTAACCTTGGGCTCAGGAAGGTGGGTGCTGAAGTCCGACCACCCCACTTCACTGTCCTAAGTAGTGGTGTGACCACTGGCAAATCACCTGACCTCTCCATGTCCTCATCAGTATCTCCCCTCACGATGGGAATAATAATAGCACCACTCTCGTTGGTTGATTGTAAACATTCAATGAATGATGCCTGTGAAGTATTTGTGGGACTTCCTGGCATATGCTGAGCCATCGATAAATAACTCATTGTTATCTCAGCACTGCACATTGGGAGTGAGGATTCATTCATTCATTCATTCATTCATTCATTCAACAAATGTTTTAAGTTCTACTTGGTACCAGGCAGTGTGCTAATACTGCGCATACAGAAATACACAAATGGTTAGGGTCTCAGCCCACGTGGGCAGGCAGCTGCAGGGAGAGGCTGACAGTTCAAAGGAAACTCATTATAATAACAAGGGGGCTGATTTTGATCAGGGGGTCAGGGAAGGCTTCTGCAGGAAGTAGCATGTGAGCTGAAGGAGCCCGTCAGCCTGGGGAAGAGGTGGGCAGAAGGCCCCGAGTTGTATGGGTTCAGCTGCCTTTGAGGAGTGGAAGGAGGGTGTGTGGTATGTTCCATGGAAGGAGGTTTAAGAGTTAGTGCAGGCACAGTGAGAGGTGAGGGTTTTATTGGAAGTGCAATGGGAAAGCCCCCCACGGGGTTACGCGGCAATGGGATCAGATGTGCATTTACGACGCACGCTCTGCCCATCTCTGGAGGGGGATAGAGTGGAGACCAGGGATGATCGTTAGCATCCGGAGAGCCACTCTCTCGTTTTCAGTGCTTTCACAAACACTGCCTCACCACTTACTTTAAACTTGGCCTGAGAAGTCCAAAGGAGGTGGGGTGTGGGGTAAGTGGTTCTATGTCGTTTCCCCGGCTCAGAGGATTCCGAGGAGGAGCTGCAGAGCCAGGAAGGGACAGAGGACTTCAAACCTCCTCAGTGGGGAGGAGGGGGCCTCAGAGGCCAGAAGGCATCTAGGTCAGAGGACCAGTCCCCACCCTCAGTAATCAGAGGGGACCCTGACCTCTGGCACTCTGACCTCAGGGACAACTGGGGACAGCTCCTCTAGCAGCCATGCTGCAGCCTATACGAACATGCCTGGGTTGGGGCAGGGCTGCGGGCTGGCTGTCCACCAAGGACCCTCTTCTCCCCGCTGCCTCCTAGTCCCCCAGCCTCCTCTGGGATTGTCCTTCTCAGGGTCACTGCTCCGTGCTGCAGTGCAGGGCACCAACAGGCCCATCTCCTCCCACATCCTGCCTCCCACCGCAGCCAGCCTGGCCCTGTGCCCCGGACCCTGCCCTCCTGACCAGCTTCCTGACTCACTGATACTGGCTGCCACCCTGAGAGCCCAAAGCTCCTCTGCCGTCTCTGCCCACCTAAGCTCGAGGATAGCGTTCTCCGGTGTGTGGCCAGGTTGATGTGCACTCAGCTCCATGGAGCTGCAGTCACTGTTCCTGGGGGCTGCCCAGTTCAGGGCGCCTTATCCAACGTGGGCACAGCATGGGGCTTGCGGCCTCCTCCCCACCCAGCCCTCCCTCTTACAGGTGTCTCTTCTCGGACAGGAAAAAACCACTCCCAGCTCTCATTAGGTGCCTCTCAATAGATCAGAGGGCTAACTGGGTGCTAGGCACAAAGGGAATGGGTACTAGGGGGAGGGATGGGGCTCTGGCCCTAAGATGACTATCAGCCTGACATGTGAGGTGCCATGCTCCAACAGAGAAGAGGAAGAAGGTCCTAGGGGGGTGAGGGGCAGAGAAAAACCAATGCAACAGAGTCGAAGTGCCTGAGGGCCTGGGGCTCCTTCCTGACATTTTATTTGTCCAGGTCCTACTCCCCTTCCAGTGATGATAATGGTCAAGTCCTTGCCTACTCCAGGAGCTTCACACACTCATTCATTCAGCAAATATGTACTGAGTGTATAATATTGCCAGACATCCTTCTGGGCTCTCAGTAGCCATCGGTGGACAAAACAACAAAGAGCCCTGTTCTCATGGAGCCTACCTTCTTGGGAGGGGAGAGACACAGAAGAGTACATTTATAGGATGAGAGAAAGTAGTAAGTGCCATGGAGCAAATAAAGCAGAGGACAGGGAGGGCCGGCGTTTTAAACACAGTGTTAAGGTAGGCCATACTGAGAAGGTGCCGTGGGAACAAAAATGGAAGGAGGCCGGAATGAGCTGTGGGGACATCTGGGTGGGGATGTTCCAGGCCCGGGGCAGGCAGGAGCTGGAGCTAGTGAGGTGATCTGATTCCTGCTGTAGCCACCTTCTTGAAGGAAACCCCATCGGGATTTACTGGTGGGCGACTGGATGTGGGTGGGAGGGAAACAAGAGTCAAAGATGATTCCTAAAAGGTTTTGGCCTGAGAAACCTGAAGGACGGAGTCCGTTCGCTGAGCTGGTGGAGTAGGAGCCGGTTAGGGAGGAAGATCCGGAGTTGGCTTATGGACTCGTGGGCTTGACAGGGATATGGAGCTCCCCAGGGAGATGTTAGGAGGGTGGGCAATTAAAAACCTGAAGGTTCAAGGGAGCAATCCAGGCCACATGGAGTTCAGAGACTGAAGAAGATCCCCTACAGAGCCAGACAGGAAGGGCCCAGGGCAGCCTTGGGAGGTAAAGAAGACCCAGCCAGGAAGGCTGATGAGTGGCCATGAGGCAGGAAAACGGGGAGGCCATGCTTGAGGCCAGGTGTGGAGGTTCATGGGGGCCACTGTTGGAGCCAACTCTAGCTGCCTTATTTTGTGCCCTTCTCTGACACAGTTCCCTCCTGAATTTCACAGCTGAGGGAATGTGCTCAGAGCAGGTAGGTGCCTGGGGGCGTGGCCGAGCTAGGCATGGAGCCCTGAGGACTCCAGGGTGGTCACACAGTGCCTTCCGCTTCTCCTTCTCCTCCTCTGTGGCTCATCCACCAGGCACCAACCACATGTCCCCTGTGTGCCAGCTACTCCACTGGGTGCTGGGCACTGAGGAGGTGGGGCTGACGTGACAGTCTCTCCCCCCGCGGCTGTGTCTGCTAGAGGCATGATCAACTTGGTAAATGGGTGGGCTTCATGCAAGGGGATCTTGAAGAGTGGGTGGGCTTTGGTCAGGGAAGGGGGTGTCAAGAGAGGGGGACAGGGCCAGCTGGGGAAGAGGATGGGTATACATGCCTTTCAGGTGTGACTGGGCCACCTCTGAGAAGAAGCAGCAGATGCCAGGAAGCAGGTGTGGCAGCCAGGGAGGCCCACCGCCCAGATTCACCTTCCAGAGAACTCGCAGGGAGAAGCATTCAGTGGCCAGGCTTCAGCAGCGGGCACCTTCATGCTCTGCCTGGCCTTCGGGCCCCAGCCAGTGACGGGGCTCTCGCCCACAGGCAGTCAGTCTTTGCACCTGAGCCCCCATTAGCCAGCCGAGGCTCCCTGCACTCTGTGGTCTGCGGCTCTTCCTTCCTCCCCTCCCTGCTCAGGTGGCAGGCCGGCTGAAGGCTTTGCCTGCCGACTCCTGCTCCCTGTCGTCCACTGGTGGTGCCGCCACTGGAAATCCTGCACTTACCCTGTCTTGGTGGTGTCTGTTTCTGAGGGAACCCAGCCAGTATGGGGTCGCAGGTTTCACCTCTCTCCTCTCCACCAGGAAAGACCCCTTCTCTCAGCTGTGGTCTCAGTGGTGCAGCCTCATGGAAGTGTGATAGGCAGAAGAATGCTCTCCTGTCTCAGCTAAGCCCCGCTGGGAGTGGACACTTACGTCCTCTGCAGGGCCTCTACACCCTTCTCTTGTGACATGTGCGGACATTCGTTTTCACATCTGCTAAAAAAGAAAGTGGTGCTCACTGCAAAGCAGAGAGGAGACGCGCTACCCCGTGATCTGTGTGGTAGTGGGTGTGCTGGTGCCGAGGCACCGTGGAGGGAGGACGGGGAGAACTCCCAGCAGAAGCGCTGTTTGCTCAGAGTCCTCAGATGAACAGAACTTCTCTAGGTGAAGGGTCACAGGGCTTCAAGGCCCGAGGCCAGCAGGGAGCCAAAGGAGCAGGAAGAGAGTGATTGTCCCGGTGACCTGTGTCTGCTTGTCTTTTACAGAAAGGAAGGCAGAGGAAGCCACGGCCACTGGACCCTGGTGAGGGCTCCAAGGACACAGACAGTTCAGCCGGGCGGCGGGGCAGCGCCGGCAGAAGGCATGGGCGCTGGCGGGGCCGCGCCGAGAGCCCAGGTGTGCCCGTGGCCAAAGTGGTACGGGCTGTTACCAGCCGGCACAGAGCTAGCCGAAGGGTCCCTCCCGCCCCACCCCCAGAGGCCCCTGGCCGCCAGAACCTGAGTGGGGCCGCAGCCGGGGAGGTGCTGGTTGGGGCAGCTGGCTTTCCACAACACGGAGACACTGGGAGTGTGGAGGGCGCCCCCCAGCCCACAGACAATGGCTTCACCCCCAAGTGCGAGATTTTGGGCAAAGACGCACTGTCCGCACTGGCCCGGGCCAGCACCAAGCAGTGCCAGCAAGAGATCGCCAACGTGGTGTGCCTGCACCAGGCCGGGAGCCTCATGCCTAAGGCTGTGCCTCGGCACTGCCAGCTGGCTGGTAAGAGACAGGCATGGGTGGAGAGGTGGCAGCCCCAGGGGGTGACCTGGCAGGAATCCCACCCTGTTTCTCAAAGGAGGAAAGCTCAGAGGGGCCCACCTCCCTTGCTAGCTGGTAGTGATAAGGACTGGAAGTGGCAGAGGCGGTGAGGGGCCCCAGGAGCCCTGGGCTCTGAGTCTGGGATTCTTCCTTCGGAAAGCAGGCAGCTCCCTCGTCCCATCTGGCCTCCCCTCTGTGACCTAGGGAGGGGCCTCACGGGCGCCCCTGTTCTCCGCTCAGGTAAGATGAGCCCCGGCATCCAGTGGGATGAGGCCCGGGCCCAGCAGCCCGTGGACGGCCCCCCAGTGCGGATCGCCTACATGCTGGTGGTCCACGGCCGCGCCATCCGCCAGCTGAAGCGCCTCCTCAAGGCTGTCTACCACGAGCGGCACTTCTTTTACATCCACGTGGACAAGGTACCGTGTGGGTGGCCGAGGGGTTCTTCCAAGTGAGCAGAGTAGAGACCCAGAAGGTCACAGACAGACGGGGTTTCTGCCCTGTTCGGGTGGCCCCTAGTTAGGGAAACAGGCCTAGAATAGGGGAACAGCCAGCACAAGGTGACATGTGTGCTCTCCATTCCGTGTCACGTACACTCTTCCCTGGGGTGGGGTGGGGAGGTCATGTGCTGAGGGTCCACCTGTGGCTGCTGAGAATCCCCCACCCCCCACCCCACTAGCGCTCCAACTACCTGCACCGGGAGGTGGTGGAGCTGGCCCGGCAGTATGCCAACGTTCGGGTGACACCCTGGCGCATGGTCACCATCTGGGGCGGGGCCAGTCTGCTGAGGATGTATCTGCGGAGCATGCAGGACCTGCTGGAGGTGCCTGGCTGGGCCTGGGACTTCTTCATCAACCTCAGTGCCACTGACTACCCCACCAGGTATGGCGTGGTGCTCGGGACCTCCAGCTGGGAGGGGCCCATCTGGGTACTTGGGTTAGAGGGTCCTGATAGGCCCCTTCCCCTCCCTCGGGCCTTATTCTGAGATCCACACAATCCAGACATGGTCCCTTCGCCCTGGCCATGTTTTAGGGAAGGGAATGGTGAATGAAGATGGGGAGGAGGAGGAGCCAGAGGGGTATACTGGGGTGCTGGGTCAGCCAGCCAGAGGTGCAGGAAGGACCACCCCAGAGCGTCAACCTGGGGATAGGGCACATGGCCAGAGGCCAAGAGGTGAAGGTGAGGAGCGCTGGAGGGAGTCTGCTCCAGGCCAGTGGCTGAGTGCCAGTGGCCACACCCCATTCCCTCCCCAGGACCAATGAGGAACTGGTGGCTTTCCTGTCCAAGAACCGGGATAAGAATTTCCTCAAGTCACATGGCAGGGACAACTCCAGGTGAGGGGATGGGGGAAGAGGCCCTGACCCTGGGGTCTCATCACAGCCCTTCCCACACTGGGGACGTGGGGCCCCGCCCAGGGTTACGAAGCCTCCAGACCAATCACAGATGGAAGAGTGCTGGTTCCTAGGTGGATGGAACAGCCCGGACTCCACCCTACACAGCCTCCGGCCTTGGCCGGTCTGCTCCCCACAGGTTCATCAAGAAACAGGGCCTGGACCGGCTCTTCCATGAATGTGACTCGCACATGTGGCGCCTGGGTGAACGGCAGATCCCGGCAGGCATCGTGGTGGACGGTGGCTCCGACTGGTTCGTACTGACACGCAGCTTCGTGGAGTATGTGGTGCACACGGACGACCCGCTCGTGGCCCAGCTGCGCCAGTTCTACACCTACACGCTGCTCCCAGCTGAGGTGGGTGACCTGGGCCCTCACCCAGGCCCAGGAGGGAGCTTGGTGGGGTGCCCACAGCTCACCGTCCACCCTGTCCTGCCGCCTGTAGTCCTTCTTCCACACAGTGCTGGAGAATAGCCCGGCCTGCGAGAGCCTCGTGGACAACAACCTGCGGGTCACCAACTGGAACCGTAAGCTGGGCTGCAAGTGCCAGTACAAGCACATCGTGGACTGGTGCGGCTGCTCCCCCAATGACTTCAAGCCGCAGGACTTCCTACGGCTGCAGGTGCACCCCAGGGCTCCTGGTCACTGCCCTAGCTAGGGCCTCACCCCGGCCTTCTGCCAGGGTCAGAAAGCATTCAGGGTGGGCTAATCAGAGAACTAGGGGCCTTCTCCCTCGGGGTTCTTGGGGCTACTGTAGCAGCAGGAGAAGCCCAGAGGCCAATCTCTGGGCAGTGCTGGGAGGGGCCCCTCCCCTGCTGTGCTCTCTGGGACCTGCAGACCCCTTTAGCCTCCTTGCCTCTCCTGCTCCAGCAAGTCTCCAGACCCACCTTCTTTGCCCGGAAGTTTGAGTCCACTGTGAACCAGGAGGTCCTGGAAATTCTGGACTTCCACCTGTATGGCAACTACCCCCCTGGCACGCCAGCCCTCAAGGCCTACTGGGAGAATGTCTATGACGTGGCCGATGGCCCCAGTGGGCTCAGTGATGTCATGCTCACCGCCTACACCGCCTTCACCCGCCTCAGCCTGCGCCACGCTGCCACCACTGCACCCCTGCCGGCCACCCCACTCTGCAGGTGAGACCTCCTGACAGGTCCTCGGGGTGTGCTGACTGGGGGGAGAGCAGTCAGAAAGTCTCAGACATGCCCTGCCACCAGGGAGCCCCCAGTGTAAGGCGGAGGAAAATGCAAATAAAACAAAGATGGCAAGAGCCAGGCACACAGGTGCCGTGGGTGTGAGATTTGGGGCGAAGGAAGTACCTGGGAATGGGACTCCCCAGAGCCCGCTCCCTGGGACTCCAGACCAAATCGGATATGCTGATGGCATCTCCCTTTCTCCCTGCTGAAACCTTCTTAGGTTTGAGCCCAGGGGCTTGCCGTCCAGCGTGCACCTGTATTTCTATGACGACCATTTCCAGGGCTACCTGGTGACGCAAGTGGTGCAGCCCTCAGTCCAGGGGCCAGCAGAGACGCTTGAGATGTGGCTGATGCCCCAGGGGTCGCTGAAGCTGTTGGGGCGCAGTGACCAGGCCAGCCGGCTGCAGAGTTTGGAGGTGGGACAGGTCCTCCCCTTGCTTCCTCCTGACCCCCAGTAAGACTGAGTATAGTGAGAAGACGGGGCCAAACACTGAGGGAGGGGCAAGAACTGGGTTAGGCCTTTCAGGACTGAGTCCGCGGGCTGCTCCTTCCCAGGGACAGCAGCCTTGGCGATGCCTTGTGCGCATCCATGGGTCATCCCTGCGTGCACACTTGGAGGGGACCTCCCACCTGGGGTGCCCAGAGGACATGCCACAGTCACAGAGGAGACTGCAGTTCCACTGTACTGCAGCCTCGTCTTCTAGACTGCAAGGGTTTTCTTCTAGAGGGACGTGGACATTCCATTCGGGCTACTCCTGTCTCCAGGTCTCTCTCAGAGGCCTTCGCTTCGTGTGGGGATGTTCTCCGGGCAGGACTTTGAACCTTACCTCTGCCTTCCTGCCCCACCATTGCAGACCAGGTCAGAATGGGAGCCTAGAACAAATTCTAGTCCAAGATCTTCATTTTGGAGACGGGGAAACTGAGACCCAGAGGGAGACTGTGTGTAGTTCGAGGTCACAGTGCATTAGAGGCGGCATTAGAGTAGAGAGGAGGATTTTCCCCCAGGCTCCTGCCCAGCTGCCTCCCTCCCTACAGGTTGGCACCGAGTGGGACCCCAAAGAGCGTGTTTTCCGGAACTTTGGGGGGTTGCTGGGGCCACTGGATGAGCCTGTGGCCATGCAGCGTTGGGCCCGGGGCCCCAACCTCACAGCCACTGTGGTATGGATCGACCCCACCTATGTGGTGGCCACATCTTATGACATTGTGGTGGACACAGAGACCGAGGTCACGCAGTACAAGCCCCCACTGAGCCGACCCCTGCGGCCAGGGGCCTGGACCGTTCGACTACTTCAGTTCTGGGAACCCCTGGGTGAGACCCGCTTCCTCGTGCTGCCCTTGACCTTCAACCGCAAACTACCTCTCAGGAAAGGTAAGGATCTAGTTCCCAAAGGATGCCCAGAAGCCAGGGAGGTAACCCCAAGAAGCTGACCATCAGAGTTGATTCCCATCACTAGAGAAGGGGAAGGGGGAAAGTAGGGAACTTGACTGTCTGCCCTTTAGCATCCTAGGGCTGTGCTGAGTCAGGTAGACGCGGTTTTGCAATGGAGCTTTGACAGCTGGGCTGTTATTAGCAATCTACTTCCTGAGCCCCAGTCTCATTAAGCGTAAGGTAGGAGTAATGTAACTACCGGAGATCTTCTGGGTGCATGGAACACAAATCCACTCAAACTAGCTCAAATAAAAAAGGGGAATTATTGGAGAATGCAGGGCTGTGCCCCACAGATCCCAGGAAATGTCTCGAGCCTCACTGGAAACCAGCGGTGCTTTCTCTGTCTGGGGGCTTCTTGTGCATCATCCCATCTTCTCTCTGTGCGTTAGCCTCAGGCTCCGGCTTTTTGATACACAATGTATGGCCTCTTAGGGCAACAAGACTGACCGGGGCCTGGCCCCCGGTCCACATTCTTAGGACAGCAAATCTGACGGTATGGCCTGGTGGGCAAGGTCACGTGACCCACCACCACCCACTGGCTGAAGCCAAGGGAGCCTCAAGGCTGCAGGTGCCTCAAGGGGGGGGCTATGTCCCCCAAGTAACTAGTCCCTGGGAGACATTTGATATGAGTATGTGGGTAAAAGTGGCTGGTATGCAGTAGGTGCTCAGTAAGTAGGTACAAGTTTCCTTTCTCTGGCCACAGCCTATCGCAGAGAAGGTGGGTCAGAGTGGGGAAACCCAGAGGAGGACAGACCAGTGGGTGGGCTGCGGCAGACCCCGAGCAGGCAGCTGCACCCTGCTTTCCCAGGACTCACAGCCTGCTGGAGGGGATGAGGGAGGAATGGAGGTCAGCTTTACAGTGGTGGGCACTGGAGCTGAGCCTTGAGTAGGCTGGATTTGCCTGGACAGAAGGGTATTTTGAGGGAACAGAGTCGGTAGGTGTCTGATGCACGAGGGAAACGGTGGAGGGGCACAGGGTGCAGAGGGGTGGCAGGACAGAAGGCTGGCAAAGCAAGTGGGGCCCAGCAGCCGGAGGGTCTGAACAGGAGGCTTCCGATGGCTCTGGACATGGTTGAGAACAGGCGGGGGTGACACAAACCATTATGGGAGAGTTACCCTATTTTCTAAAGTGCCCCAAACCCACTATTCTACTTGATCCTCAAGTTGGGGATTCAGGGACGACTGTCTTGGTTTTATAAAACTAATGGTTTCAGAGGCACAGAAAGTTCTGTGGAGTAGCCCAAGAGCCCAGGTCACTCAGCAAGATGTGACTCAGCAATAGAGTTGGGACAGGAACTGGGGTGCCCAGACCTGACTCCCAGGGTGTGGTCTTCATGGAATCAGTTGGGCCGGGCGTGCTGACGGCATGATCTTGCACCCCCAGATGATGCCAGCTGGCTGCACGCCGGGCCCCCCCACAACGAGTACATGGAGCAGAGTTTCCAGGGCCTGAGTGGCATCCTGAACCTGCCTCAGCCAGAGCCCATGGAGGAGGCCGCCCGGCAGCACACGCTGCTTACGGGCCCCGAGCTCGAGGCCTGGACAGATGGGGAACTGAGTGGCTTCTGGTCTGTGGCTGGACTGTGTGCCACGGGCCCCTCCACCTGCCCTTCCCTGGAGCTCTGCAGACTGACCAGCTGGAGCTCTCTGTTCCCCGACCCCAAGTCAGAGCTGGGGCCTGTCAAAGCAGACGGGCGACTCAGGTAGCAGGGCCCCAGCAGCACCTCTGGAACACCTGAGGAATTGCACTTACAGACAAAGGAGGGGCATCCCCCCACCAACAGGCAAGGACCAGAGGCCCAGACAACACGCCCATCAGCCATAAGAACCTGCACAGATGGCAAGGAAGGTGGGCGCAGTATTTACAACTGCCGGTGGCGCTGCTGGGGACCAGAGAGGGGCAGGAATAGGAGGAGAAGGGCTCCAGCTTCCACACCCTGCTCTTCCAAGCCTTCTCTGATTTTTTTTTTTTAAGAAAAATGGGTGGTGTGGGGAGGAACTGGAAACAAAAGATGTGCAATAGGGCTCAGAGCAGCCCCAGGAAGTGGGCCATGGCTCTAGGGAGCAGCGGCCTGATGGGCCCATCTGCTGTTGCTCTGGAGGTGGGGCCAGCGTCTCTGTCCAGGGCATCATCCCTGGGCCTAGGCCTGTGTGCTCGTGGCTGAGGCTCTGTAAGTGCCCTGCCAGGCTCTGAGGCCCAGAGACCAGGTGATTTGGAGGAGCATTGCAGAGCTGGGCTCTAGTGGGACAGCCTCTCCTCTTGTAGCCAGGGGACCACAGAAGAGAGGGTGGGGCTGGCTCTAGGGCTTTCCAGAATGCCCTGCTCCTTGACGGGAAAGGCAGGGCACCAGGACCTACTGAGAACAATGCAGAGTCTCCCAGGTACCCAGAACTGCAAGCAGAGCCTTGGGCTGCTGCCCCAGAAGGGCAAGGCCGCATGAGCAGCATGGGAAGAAGACTCTGTCGGGGATCTCAGAGGAACCTGAAGCAGCATCGTGCCTGAAGCTCAGTGTGAAGTCTGAAATATGCAACAGAAGAAATAGATCTCTATCTCTTTAAGCCCAGCCTCTGCGTTTTCCCTTCTGGGGGTTGGGAAGCCCTCATTCTTAGGCCTTCATCTAAAGTCTTGGCTGGTACTTGGGCAGGCAGCGGTGAGGTAGAGGTTTCATTCCTAAGAGTGGCAACAGCTTAGATTCTACCCAGGAACCAGAAAGGATGCAAGAACTCATCTAATACAGCTCCGTCTTTTTCAGAGGGGTGGAGAGGCTCAGAGACGTCCTCGTTGCCACCTAGTGGGCCAGTGGGAGAGCCAGTTCAGTTCTCGAGCCCTGACCCAGGACTTCCTCCCCTGCCGCCAGGCCAAGGCAGATGTTGGCTGCTCTCTGGTGTCCCCAGTCCCACTCCCCCAGAATCCCTCCTCACTCTGCTTCCCACCCAGTCCTGAGTGTGGAGCACCCTCAAGAACAGAGGCAATCCCAGCTACAGTCTACTTGATTACCTTTGGAGCTTGTCCCTGTAGGGACAGGAGCAGCAGTGGCTTGGGTCCCTGGCCACTGTCCTAAGACCTGGGAGGGCCATGTTGAAAAGGGTCATCCACCCGCCCTCCTTTTCTCAAGGCCCTTTCCCCCTCCTGCTCTTCTGCCGTTGTCAGCCAGGGCTCTCCGTATCAGTCCTTCAACCTTGCGTCACAGTGCAGTGAGAGTGAAGGGCTCTCCGACCCTTATCAGCCAGGCACACTGGCCTGGCCAGCCCAGCTTGGTGAGCAAAGGGTCCTGCCCTGGCTGCCACGCGTCAAGTTTCCTAATTGCCTGGAGAGGGCACCCCTGACCACCAATAACGGCTTTGGTGTTTTCTGTTTGTTTAGCCACAGTGCTGACCCTGTGGGCAGTATCTCATTTAATCCTCAGAACCCTCTGAGGCAGACACTGTCATTATCTTCCTTTAGCATATCAGGAAACTGAAACGATGAGCCCAAAGCCACAGCCATTACGTGGTGGCAGCAGGTTTCGGATGGAGCAGGCCTCCATGCCCCTCTGCCACTACTGTCTGCTCCCAAGGGCAGGGACCTGACAGCAACAACTCCAGGAAAAGAGTGTTTGGGTTCAGGGGCTAAGGTAACGTTTTTTCTGGCCCCTATTTGAGTGAACGTCGGGAAACTCTGCTCTGGTTCTCTAGAATGTTTTAAAACATCAAATCCTAGGTAAATAAGAAGAAAGGTTAACAACTGGGTTCAGCATATGACAGCCAGACAACAAATATCAGAACATTCAGACTGCTAGCTAAGGGCACACAGACCGGCCTGCAGGCTTACCCTGGGCTGTGGCTATGCTGTGGTTGAGCTAGCACAAGTTTTGGGGCTTATTTTTTGAACTTGGGAAGGACGAGCACTCCCTGGTTCAGTCCCTGCCACTCCCACTCTGTCACAGCAGGTCCTAGTTATTCATTATTGTCACCTGCTGGAACATCTTGTATTTGTACTTTTAGCCCAGTAGACTGTGCTCTTGACTGAGAGTTCTGAGGCATAAAGTGGAAGGCCAGTAATGGTTGGGGTTCAAAGCTCTTGCAGGTGATTCTAATTTGCAGGCCTGTGAGACCTGTAGGTTGGCCTCACCCCCACTGCTCTGACGGCAGGTCTCTGAAAACTAGGGACCAGGCTCCACCACTCCCTCTTCCCCCATCCTCTCCTGTCCAGTCACTGAGGTGTCAAGTGCAGCCACTCCGCCCACAGTGTTTTGCAGCTCCATCATTCTGCAGGGTTAGCTCAGCCTAGAGGCTTGGGCTTTTTGAGGCTTCACTGAAGTCCTCCCCTGGCTGGGCCCCTGGGGTCAAGACCAGGATTCCAGCGAGGCTCAAAGTGGGGTGGTAGTTGGAGAAGGTTGGGCCCTAGAGCTGCATGATTACTTCAGATGGAGAAGGAGAGGCAGGGTAGAGATGCTTTTGTATTTTGTGGCCTGTGTGCCCAATTTCCAGGGCAACCACGGACAACACCGCAGTTCCATTAGCAGTCAAAGCCAAAACCAGACGATAGCCAATGGGCATATGGAGCCTAGTTACCTGGGCCAATGGGAAGTGGGGCAGAGTTGGCCAGGAGGGGATCTGGGATGAGAAGTACAGAGAGCTGAATGAATTGGAGCTCCCCTGGCTGGCTGGCGGCTTTAGCAGAAGCCAAGCCTGTTCTCGGCCACCCCGTTCTGAAGGTTTTAAAGGACCTTCATGGCTGCCAGGCCTGCAGAAGGGAGTGCCACCTATGGGACACTAGGTCATGGCATGCTACTGACCAGGGCAAACGGGTACAGGCAAAGGAGCTGGAGAGCTGCTCACAGATACCCCAGCTCTGAATGAGGCTGCTCCCCTGGGCCAGGATTCCTGAGTTGGGAGGTAGCCCTGGGCAGGGGGTTCTGGGGTGGGGCTGGAGGAGTCAGTCCTGTAGCCCTGCTGGCTGTTCTTGAGGTCACTCAAGGCCCATGCTCCTTCTTGGCACCCCGCTACCGCTGCTCCCCATGCAGAGATCATCATGGAAACAGTCTCCTAGCCACAGTAGGGGCCACTGATGGGTACCTACTGCTGTCCTGCATCACACAGTTGGGGCACTTGCACCCTTGGCCCCTCATCATCAGCCAGAAGCCCTGTTCATCTACAGGGTCACCTAGAGCCAGCCACTTGGAAGAATGCTATTATGGTCTTTGATCCCTGAGGTCCTTGCCACATTGGCACCAATTTCTGTGACGCCACAATCTATGACCGTGGGAGAGGGCTGGCACCAGGAATCTGAGTTCAGATTCTTGAATCCTCCTGCCTCCTTAGATCCACTGTTTCTAAGGTGCCTGCCCCTGTCACAGGGTCCATCCCGAGTCTGTCCCTCTGTAAACTCCCTTGCACACATCACTCCTCCCGTGGGCTGAAGAGACAGGATACAGCCATTCCACTCTCCCTCACCAATCTCTACCTCAGGGAGCTCATGCAGCAGCAAAGATCCTGCACCTCAGCTTCCCCTGCATGTGAAGCTGATACCGGCCCCGGCCAGGTTGTTCCTACCCAGCTTCTGGAGCTGGGATGGTGAGATGAGCTTGTACAGGAGGGCCTCAGCCTCTGCACGGAGTGGTTTCCTCCCTGGGGTTCATCCTGGCCGTCCTGCTACTGCTGCTGCACTGCCGTGAGCTCCAGTGTTGCCAGGTCCTCTACTCCCATCACTTCTTCCAGAGCCCCAGCCAACACACGTGCCCTGGCCCAACAACCCCTTCCTTCCATGCCCCTACCCCAATCCCAACAAAGGGCACCGGCTTTTGTTCAGTATGAAGGGGGCTTTGGAGTCGATTCTTTGGACTCTGCATCTTCCAGCCTGAGTTCCCTTGCGCCCTGGCAACAGTAGGGAAAGGGTTGATAACATCCTGGACAGCCTCCTCCCTGGCAAATGTTAAACAGGACCCAGTGCTGGGAGCTGCTGAGGAAGACAATGGTCTCTCCCTACCTCTCCAAACTGGAGGCTTGCCCTCTCCCCCCAGCTCCCAGGAGACAGACAGCCCAGAGCCTTGGCTTCTGTGTGAGGGGGGAGGTGGCGGCTAAAGTACTCAGTCCTCTCCCCAGGGCTGGGCAACACTCCGGATCCTGGGTACAGAAAGGAAAATAAACCTTCTGACCTGCGGCCTCCCCAGGCTTCGACCACCCCATCCCCCATGACCCCCAACTCTGGGGGTCACCCCGCCCAACTCTGGGCCCGGGACAACATGGAGTAGGGACAGGTTTTCTCACCCCCCCACCCCCAAAGGTCATCAGACACAGCTGCCAAATCGAGAGAATGAGCTAGTGGCCACGAGTGGAATCTCTTCACACCCCAGTGCACTTCAGAAATGCTGGGCGTCTGAACGTTGGGCCCCAGATTCAGTGGACGGAACTAAGGGGATGGGGAGAGGAACATGGAGACAGGAAGTCTGGGCTCTGCTCTCCGACTCTAAATCCGGAGCTTCATTTTGAGTCACCCCAGGACATCATGATCCCCGGGTCTGCCCCCCTCCCTACTTCAGCATGTCCAACAACCAGGACCACAGGTGCCGGTTGAGACTTCCTTCCTGGCCCTTCCACTGGAAGCCAAGCCTCTCAAGGTCTTGGGTGGGGCTGACAACGGAAGATGGCCCCCAGACCACTCCAAACCCAGACATGGCATTCCTGAAGCCCGTCTTTGCTGCCGTTCCTGGTTTGTGATAAACCGAGAACCAGAAAAGAATGTGAGCTTGGCGTGTTTCTCCAGGTGAGCAGGAAGAAGCCCATCTGTCACTCACTCTACTTATTGTTCAATTACAGAGTTCTGCATCCCCCCCCACTCCTCCACCCCCACCCCAGCCGAATCCCCCCTAGAAGGATCTCAGTGTTCTGGGACAGGCGGCACCTTTCTGCCCTGGACAGTGGAGACAGGAAGGGATCTGCCATGTGGCCATTTCTGGGGCTGCCAACCCAGATCCCTCTGAACGTGGTCCGAGAAAAGGAATGTGATAGGGGTGCTTCCTGTTGGCCCCTCCTACCTGCTCCCCGGCTCAGCTTCTGCTTCCCCCTGGGGGATGTTGCTGAAATAACCCCTTCCTCAGAGAAAGTCCTCTCTAGTCATTTGCTCACTCTAACAGGCCTCTTTCCTGCTTGGAGGTTCCCCTGGGTGTGCACTAGAGAACACAAAGAAAGACCAACAAATCAATAGGGAGCTCCTTCCAGGTTTGTCCCCAAATAGCACAGACTCATGACTCCAGCTAACTTTATTTTTGGCCTCAGGTCAGGTCTCCAAAGGGTTTCCCAGCCAGTCACTTCACAGACTTCTTCCTCAGGAGGCTTGTTGTCACCCCAACTCTTGACTTCTGGTACCACCTGCCCGTCCCCTGGGCTCCAGCTGTCCAAGTCTCGAGTATGAGCTCAAAGCATAGCCACCAGTTTGAAGGTGCCCTCAGGCTTGGCAGGAACCACATGGACAAAAGTCTTATAGAGCACAGCCCCCCTGGGCAGCCTGGTGACCAGATCCACAGCCTCCGAGTTGTTGGGGTGGGGCACGTAGACCTCTTTAGTGTAGCGGACGACCC